CGAAGTCCTCTGCATAGTAGTACTAACATCAGACTGTGGACTTGGTACATTCTCAAACGTTTCACCGGCAACGTAGTCGGCATCATCAGTGAGTGCTGCCATTCTCCGCACCATGCTACGAACTCGTCTTTCTCTCTTGGCCTATCTATCTACTATTTACACTCTTATTCAACTCCCACACTATCACAACTTCCCACTTGTTAACATTTCACTCGTCAAAATGTGTGCCATTTTGTGGCACAGACAATACAGAATGCTAGCTACTTGATATGCCCTTGCGTAGTTTTCCATGTCGACTTATGCCTGGACGATGCGGTGCCAAGCCTTGATTGAGCGATGCGAAATAAAGGGTCAGTATTAGTCACGCACTCACGTGATCTCTGCTCCAAGAGGGTCTTGAGCCATGGCTACGTATGGGATGTAACAAAAACGAAACATTGAATGGGGAAAGTGTGGGGGTAGGTCACTACAGCCAAATTGTTATTTAATCTTGTTCTCGCAGCTTGATCATGTTGCCAGGGCGACCTAGATGAACCCATCTTGCCCTGAATCCACTGTTCTGGCAGTCGGGGCACTTTTGAACGTCGGACCGTGGACTTGGTGAAGTCGCAGACATTTTTTCGTTTAGGAAATTCCGATCAGCCCTGTCATTATTAGCGCCAATCTATAACTCATCAAAAAGAGAAAAGAGGCGCTACTTGAGATCGCCTTAACAATTCGACTAAATCGCGAAAACGAAAACAAACTGCTTCTGTACGACCAAAATATAAATCACACTATCTCGGTTTTAGTACCTTCGATTAAATAATTACTGTCACAGCTATGGATGATGCAATTTGTTTCCTTCAGAATATGCTCTATGGATGTTGCCTAACTGACAATTGAGCAAAAAAGGACAGTAAAGCGTAGGTATGACGACCAATATGATGTGGTCTCCCTTTGATGCATAGAAGCAATCTGACCTCGTTGAAAGCATCTTATCTGAAGTCTTTTGCCACAGTAATCATAATTTTCAGCGTTGGACTGAGGACTTGGTACATTCCATGACGTTTAGCCGACATCGTCAATGAGCCTTGCCATTCTCAGAACCAAGCTGCAGCTGGTCAAAAAGGCAAGGGTTTGGCAGAAAGTTGATTTCACTTGACTCTTTGACGAGATGTAACTTGGTGCTGAGAATGATGAGACTCACTGGCAATGCCGGCGAAACGTCTGGGAATGTACAAAGTCCACCGTCCAACGCTGGGAATGATCATAGCTACTATGGCAGAAGAATTCGGACAAGGTACGTCCAATTAACCCACCCTAACAACACGTCCAAGTTGCGAAAAAGGCAGGAAGTTTCGCCAATAATGACCTTATTCTTTACCCCATCGTCTCATTTACAAGGTTATACACGAAGATTTAGAACCTTTCAGTGGTGCTGGTGATACGGAACTTAGTTAACCAGCCACGCATGTAGTTGATAAAGTATACCGGATACTCCACTGTTAACTTGGCTATCTCGTGAACGCATCTGGTTTCAATAAACATGTTGAGAGCTGCCGGTGAGGAAACTGGGGCCACGCCCAGTAAATCATTCAACTCTGTCCTTGGGTCACATTCGAGGGATGAAAGAGGAGGGTTGTATAAAGGCTGAGAGCTCCAATAACACCGGAAATCGGTGACAAAGTTAGGCCCTAAAGTGTTTATGCAGCAAGACGACTGTGAACAGCTGAAAAAGGGCTCCAGGGTATACCAGAAGAACAGTGAGGCATTCATGCATGTATTTACTGAGACACTTATGGCAGAAATGCAAGCTGTCAGATCAGGAGCGCAGAGCGCAGCAGAATATGACAGTGAAAAGTAAATATAGACACTCAAATCGAGGCGACATGTGAAACTAATGCGTACTGAGAAACAGGCGCACTTTGTGTGCAGAAATAGGGTAAACAACGGAAACAGCGGCCCTTTCGAGCAATAACCACTTCGAAATCGTCTAATCTGGGTTAAACCATAAATTGTGAATTCTTACATTTCTAGGCGTTTATCTCGGACCAGAATCAACGCTCTTGAGCCTGTTGCGAGTATGCGAACTCCCAAATAAAATAATCAATTCCGTTGTATATGCGGTTTCTAATTGAGGTGAATTAGTTATATTCTCTATCGCCAGAGCCAGAGTTTTGTTTGACAGCGATCAAAAGCTTGACTTTCGAAGAGGTGCATTATTTTAGACTGTTTCTTTTCTAATTCACGATGAAGTAAAGAAATGAATAGATTTTTGAGTTGCATTTTGGATGACCACTTATCTCGAAAGTCCGTCCTTATTCGGACTGGGCTGCAGTTACGGCCATTTTATCCGAACCTCCATTTGAGCTCAAGCCGTAAACATGATTGTTAGGAGGTAAATACGTTGCCTCCTAGGCCGATCAAGGGATAGAGCAAGTTTCTACTATTAATACTACAAAGCAATTTTTCAATAGGCATTCATATAGTTTGCATTAAATTTAATATGCTACAGAGTTTTTGCGTTAGTAATGGTATCGTTTCGCATCTTTAAGGAGGTAGTTGCGAATCGAAACTGTCACTGAAAAAAGAAATAATTAGCAAGTGGAGTTTAATAGTTGATACAGACTATGCAGGTCTCCGTAAAATGATGTAGACCAATATAATTGTCTAGGCAAATGCGGCTAGTGGTGCGATTGAGCCTAACTCGCATGCCCACGGTTCTAGTACCTCTGGGGGTTTTGATGAGGCGGTGAGGAAACTTCAGTCCAGTCTGGATGAGAACAACCCTTGGGATACATGGCGAAGGGAAATTCAATGCAAAACTCAAGCTCTAGCCTAAATTCATCGTAAACTGGTCCCAAACTCTCAAGCATATGTCAGAATCAAAGGTTATTAGTTTAGCTGTCTTGTCTTCCACAGTTAAAAGAGTATAAATGAACCTGAAATAATTGCATCATGCCAGACAACACGATGCTTTAGACGGCAGCAAACAAACAAGTGAGGTATTATTGATAGCTGTCAAACGCCTCTAAGTTTTAGCCGATGTCACCGTTATTCCGGCCACAGCTACAAGTGATTGATACCAGCAACAACGGATGAAATAGCAAAATCATATATGCAAGAAGGTGAGTTTAGAGAAAATGAGACCAAAAATAAGAAGTTTCTTACCCTTTCGGTATCTTCCCAACTGTGGAGATTGCAAATCTGCCGTTGAAATCAGCATAATGTGAGATCAAAGTGACAAAGATGATCTAACCAACAGGAAGAGTAAAAAAAGACTAAATATTAAATTAGGTTCAGATAACAGAAAAATAGTAGCTTTTATTAAGCTCATTATTAATACTTGAAATGATTCAATCAAGTCTGCATAAGGAATTTATGAAAAAAACAACGCAAGCGTAGTCTGTGAATGAAACAGCAAATTACACAATAAAAAATGGCACATAGCAGCTAGCAGGTCTGAAATAAGGATTGAGACAGCGTTTATTCTGCCATCGAAACCCTGCAGATGACCATCAAAAGTGTTTGCATACAAATCTCTAAAATGCCTACAGGCTATCTTAACCAACAAAAAGCGCATTAACGAGGAGACAGAATAAATTGCCTAAATCTATCCAAATTGACAAACTTGTGCAGGCCAAATGAGACTCATAACGAGAAATAAACGATCGTCTCATTGGTATCTTTCGGCTCTTCAGAATAAAATAAAATAACGAAAAAATGGGAAAATCCGGGTAAGAGAATGATTATTTTTGTCAGCTTTTTGCAAATCAAGGAAGGATTAAACACGAATCTCGAATGCAAAGGAATGAGTAACTCAGGACTCACTGATAAAGTGCCCAAATATGTCGCTGCTATGGATGTAACTTGCTCAGACTACCTCATGATCTGAATCATGGGTAATCAAGGCAATCGACCAAAACCAAAACTAGTTAATGAGTAATTGGTTCTGATACGCTAGATTAAATTATCTGCCTAAA